AATAGTCTCTACCATATAACTAAAGCACATTCTGGCCTTTGTGTAGTATACTTTCTTATTATTCAGAGGTAAGTACATGGGCCTATGTTGATTCAGATTCTTCAGGAACACCTATTTCTTCACTGATTTAATTTCATGAGCTCAGAATTCAGGAGCATAAAGTTCTTGAGTTCAAAACCAGCCTGAGATACTTAAAAGGTAAAGAGAAAAGAAAAAAAAACAAAGAAAAGTATATCCTTTCTGTCAACAACCCAACAGGACATTTCAGGACAATAAGACATAGTTTTTGCTTCCATTAGCTAATTCACGCCCCATCACTGGAGGTGGAGGCCATCTGCCTCTACCCTTTTAATTCTTGATGGACCAGATTCCAGCTAGACTCTAACAAGGAAGATAAGTAGATATGAGATATTGACATAGAAACCATTGACCAAAGATATCATATATCAAAGAGCTCTGTGATAACCAAAGTAAGGCCAGCTATCTGGCTTAGGAATAAAAACCCTTTGTGATCATTTTCTGATTCTATCAGGTTCAGAGATGTAGTCTATTCAAATGAAGCTGTGATTATCCCATCTGTATGTCAATATTGATTTTATTCAGCCATTTGCATTGGCACAAATAAATGTGACTTATCCAGGAAATCTTAAATGAAGGGAAATACGATGTCATTCCACTGCACACTTACCGAGTGGTGAGAATCTAAGTCCTGAGCACTTCAAATGCTCTGTGATCATGGAGCAACAGGAAGCTATGCACACTGGCACAGCTGCTTGGCAGGGCTATTTGGCTGCATTTACAAAACTGTTTATTTTCATAAGATTCAACAGTCACTCTCTTGGATGTACCCAGAGGAATTCAAAAGTTGAGTACATACAAAATTGAGCATATGTTTAGTTGGCTTTGTACATACTTTCCAAAAAGCTGGAAGTAACCAACACAATAACAGCCTGTCTAATAGAAAAACAGATAAATTTACTATACTATATCCAGAAATGGGAGTGTGCTTCAATACTAAAAAATGGGCGGAGTCAGCAGAAGACAGAGAAGAACCTGAAACACATACCAACTGTTACAAAAAGAAGCCAGCTTGGACATGCCATAGACCACCCTTTAATCCGTAATAAATATCAATTCACTTATGACTAATGTGATAGATATTTTCCAACTGAATTTTATTCTATTGTTGTAATATATAGAACATTACATATTAGCTGTATTGTAATCATTGGAAATCTAGTCTTTTAAGATTTGGCTTTTAAAGATTCATGCAGAGAGTGTTGGGGAGATAGATACCTCAGTCGGTAAAGTGTTTGCTAGGCAAGCATGAGAACTTGAGTTCGGATCCCTAGTACCCACATAAGAAGCTGGGTATAGGGCTGTGCATATGTAATCCCAACCCTGGGAGGGTGTGACAGACCCTGGGGCTTGCTGGCCAGTCAGCCTAGCTGAATTCATAAAATCTATATTCAGTTAGAGAGCATGTCTCAAAAACATATTGTAGAGATTGGAAAATGTGATTGTATAAGACACCCAACCTCACCCTCGGGCCTGAGCACCACACATTCACATGTGTGTAACACATGTGCACATCCCGAGTTTTAAACAGAATTGATCATAGAAGTAAGAGGAGAGGTAAACCCTCCTGCAGTGACAGTGTGTAGATGTAAACCTCACCCCAGTCTGACGGAGGTTGAGTGAAACCTCACCCTAGTCTGACGGAGGCTGAGTGAAACCTTACCCCAGTCTGATGGAGGCTGAGTGAAACCTCACCCCAGTCTGATGGAGGCTGAGTGGTCAATAAGGAACGATCGATGGAATCTGGACTGTATATTACTCTGTGGGATAGAAAAGAAAAAATAAAAACAGAAATAAAAGAGGTTTCCCAAGAGCTTTTCAGAATAAAACTTTTATTACTGTTTAACATGGGTGTGTTTAAAGTCTTAAATGCTTTCAGATTAGGTACAAGAAGAAGGGGGAAGGTTTGTGAGTAAGCTGGGCTAGAGGGAGACAAAATCTAGGAGCTAAGCAAAGCAAAGAGGAAGTAAATGCAAGGGATGTGGGGAGGGAAGGGTGGAGGTAAGGGAACAAAGTACATAGGCAAGGTCCTGCCTTACAACTTCCAGGATTCTAGATAGAAACTCTAAAGTTAGGCCAGAAAGAGGTATCAGTTACTTTCTGTTGCAATGATAAAAATGCCGTGAATAAAAACGACTTATAGAATAAAGACTTTATTTTGTCCTACAGTTATATACAAACACACACACACACACACACAGAGAGAGAGAGAGAGAGAGAGAGAGAGAGAGAGAGAGAAACAGAGAGACAGAGAGACAGAGAGAGACAGAGACAGAGTGTCAGAGTCTGTAACTGCAGGGAGTCATGATAGCAGGAAGTTAGAGCAGGTTACCTCTTCAGCCATATGAAGAAAGAGCACACTGAAATGTGGGAAAAAGCTGTAAAGTCTCAAGGCCCGCCCCCAGTAGCATACTTCCTCTAGCAAGACTCTGCCTCCTAAAGATTCCAGAACCTTCCTCCATACAATGTCACCGATGGGGACCTAGTGTTCAAATACATGACTCCCTGGGGGCCATTCTCATTCAAACAGCAGGAGTCTCATATTCTTAGAGAACACTCAGCTGCTAGAAAACAAAAGCTTTTAATTTAGATGTTCCGAGTAAAAATGACAAAAGCAAAAGATTATTGCCCAACTTGGATCTCTCTAGATAGATTATATTAGAATGTAAAATCTAATAGTAAGTTTGAGTATATGGCGTTAATTAGAACCAAACAGAAAAGACTGCCCCTCATTTTATTAGTAGGGGTTCACAGTACATTCATTTGAGTTTGTTTTCTCTTATAATGAGTTGAAATAATATTTTTGTTTATTACTTTATTAAGTCACATAAGTGCAAAGAACATTATCACAAATTAAAAGACGGTTACAAAATTAAAAATTAATTAGCTGATTGATCTACTTGCACTTTTAGTATCTATGCCTGACAGGTTCACTAATGATTAGATTCAGTTCTTCTTTCTCAATCATCATCTTCATCATTATTTCAGAGAATTGTAAAGCACAGTACGCACATGAGAATACACACAGAGGGGAAAAAGGACATTCTGTTGACCCTTTCCGTACCCATGGAATACCCTCTGAGGTGAGGTATTAAGTGACTGGGGCCATAATACAGATGTACTCGGTTCATGTCACACACACAGCTGTCTTCATGCCGCCAGACCAGCCCAGGGAAAAAAATGTTAAGGCAGGACATCATTTCTGGTCCCATTGTTTCTTTTTGAAATCAATCCGTACTCATTTGAGCCTTCCAGGGTATCCTAACCACCTGCAGGCATTCAGATAGTTCGAGGGGTAGAACCCTACATTCATTCAGCAGTGCTTTGCCCAAAGAGGCCTCCCCTCCCTCTTCTCTCAGGCTTTTCTCATGGGACACATGATACACAAGGCACACACATCATGCCTTCCAGATTGAAGAATTTGGGTTCTGTGAGCACTGTAAGGCTTTCTTTCTTCTCTTTATGTTTGCATTTTGTGGGTGAGTGAAAATGCTTGCTGTGGGCTTTTAATGAATCCTGAGCGTTCCACCCTGCGTGCATGAAGCCTGCCCTCCTTGTGTGTGTAAGCTGCTGTAGGAAATGCCACAGGAGATCCCTGCATACATCCTTGACTGCTCACAAAAGGACCCTTTTTCTCCTTAACAGGGCATATTACTCAATTTTGAACAGCAGCATTTTAGCAAATCTGTAGAACCCAATGCAGCAAGCCTTATATTAATTAACCCTCCACATTCATTCAGCATGTATGAGGTGCACATTTACTGTGAGCACGACATTGCCCTTGAGATAAAACCATGTTGGGGAAACAAACGAAGAACACAGTCCTATGAGACCTTGGAATGATGGTTTGCGGAGTAGGTGGGCTCAGATTGCAACTTGGAGTGGTGTGGTTGAGCACCATGGAGAGTGGCAGGATGCAGCCATGTGTCCTAGCACATCTGTGGGATGAATACATTTTCTGGAATATGAAAATTAAATTGTGGAGGTGTCAAGCCTTCAATCCCTAGTAACACTAAAGTATAAAGAAAGGAAAAAAGATGTCCTCAAGAGTGAATCAGGTGACTTCACACAAATGCAGCAGTGTTCAGGTGACGACTTCATGTAAAAGCCTGTGTATTGATTAGCTGCTTTGTTCTCCTTTCAATTTAAATACGTAAGTTTCACACCACCCCACCCCACCCCACCCCACCCCAGTGTCAATGGGTAGTAAAAAGAACATCTATCTGGAAACATATCACCGAAACATTTCTTGTATTTATCTCTAGAAGAGTACAGTTTTTTTCAACAAATAGAAAACTAAAATGTAATAGTTTTCATTGTTGTTAATCAAAGACTTAAGTAAGACATGCCACCCTTGGTCACCCATGCTGCGCCTCTCATTCTGAGTGACCTTCTTACATTCCCCAGAGCTCCTGAGACAAAATCCCTCTGTCACTTACATGAGAGTCTCATTTAGTTCCTGGGTCTGTTGTGTGTTCTTAGCATTTTCCTGTTAAGTAGAATACTTTTCAGTGTTTCCTGTATCAATACTGCTTGACCTTTAACTCAGCAGTAAAATTTAGTTAAGTCTCAGGAATGGTAATTGTTCTAAGTCCATGAACATGCAACAACTTTTTTTTTTTTTGTAAAAAATAAAAGAAAAGTCTGAGGCACCGATTATGAAGTTAAAATCATCTTTCAAGATTCTGTAATTCTACACTAGAATTTCTTATCAGTCCTTCGTTCAATTTCTTATTGGTAGCATGCTAGAGTGGTTGCTGGTAATGAAATCTAATAAGGGCACTTAGTAATTTTCTGTTCTTTGATAAGCCTTAATTCGATTCGTTCAGTTGTCTGCAGTGGGTTTTCAGAGGAAAACAATGTTTGGGCTCAGGCAGGAACCTGAGTCTCCAAGGCCAAAGCTATGTCCCTTGTTCTTTCAGATAAGGAGACAAGGAGGGATACAGCTCCTAGTGGACCTGCTGGATCACCGGATGACAGAAGTCCACCGTAGTGCCTGTGGGGCTCTGAGGAACCTGGTGTATGGGAAGGCCAATGATGATAACAAAATCGCCCTGAAAAACTGTGGTGGTATCCCAGCGCTGGTGAGACTCCTTCGCAAGACCACAGACCTGGAGATCCGGGAGCTGGTCACAGGTTAGACATCTTACTCAATGATTTATCTGTTTTGTCTCAAGAGACTTGTTTCGGTTTCTAACACATTAGCAAATGCATAAACCAAACATTATAAGTCAAAGCCTCCCAGTGCTGATGACCAATCATTCTCCACTGGTATTTTCAAATGACTGAGTAAAATACTATCAAACACATATAGGTTGATCTTGTTCAATTATTACACTCCAGGAAGTATACCTATCACTAAAATTCTATGATCTTACCTCAGTCTTTGTCATTTGCTTTCGAAGTAGTTGAGTATCTTGCGGAATCCACAGGCCATCATTAGATTAACATTAAAATGGCTGGTAAAAGGACAAGCCATTCAAGCTTTTGGCAACAAGTCATATGTTCTGGTTTATAAGTGCACTGAGCATATTGTACTTTTAGTGTTAATTATTGGGTAAAACATCCCATGCACGCTGAAAGTCCCAGGGCTATATTACTGAATATCAAAGAATTGTTCGAAAGTTCATCGGAATGCCTTTCTACTTTCATAGAATTTTGGAGTTTGGATTTAATAATAGTAGCTTGTAGAGCAATGATGACATAAGGACTGAGAATGTTGAAAAAACATTCAGCCCGTACCTTTCTTGGACTCATTGAGCAGAGCAACCGTTCACCATTAGCTCCTATCCCTTACTTGGTGAGTGTGCCATCTTAACTTGTTGCAGTTCGACTGACGTACATGTCCCCAGTGTGGGATTCCAAATCGCTCTGATGTTTCCTTCTCTTTATCGTGCTCACTGCTGCTGTAGATGATGTTTGGATTCTGGTTCCTTAGAGTAACCCTGTAAGCAAGTATTTGACAAATGAATTGCAAACGCGACTCTCCAAAAAGTCTCTTAATTATCCACCGTGCCATTGTGTTGACCTTCCATCTGAAAGTCTCCTGTATCTATCTCTGCTGATGAAGTATGTGAAGGACGCATAGCTCAAGCTACAGAACCACCACAGGGCACACGATGTTCCCACTCTAAATCCATTTCCTTGTTTCCTTCCTTCAAGGGATGTTCCAGCTCTTCCTCATTCTTTGCTAAGTTTAAACTAGAACCAAATTAGTTCATTCTTTTTTTTTCTTCTTTTTTCATTGTCTTCTCCTGTAACCCTTACTTGCTTGACCCTTACTTGATTGCTGGCTTTATTTCATTTTCCTATAAGTAGAGAGCTTTCCTTGTGGAAGTAAGTATTGGCCGGAGTTGGAGTGTTATTAAAGTAATGTTTCACACTAAACTCAGATGGGTCATGCAAGGTAAAGTGGTCATTATGAGTGTTTTGTGATTTTGAGGACTGTTTTAAGATGAGTTACATAACTTAATGTATTCCCTGCCATTATGGTGTCCCTGCTATTATGGTTATGCAAGTCCATCCATCTTTATTTTCATGGTTTGTGTGTTAGCTGGTCATGCCCAGAAGAAAAGGATTCAATATGTGTGTTGGAAACAGGATGATTGGTACATAAAGATTTTGCAACTGGATGCACAAAGCTGGAAGGGAGGAAGCCTTGCAGAATGTCTTCTGCAAATGCTGTACCTGTCATTTCATGCTGAGAAAAGATTTGGAGCTTAGTCAACTTTATATTGTCTCCAACACAAAACCGTTATCCGGAAGCCACCTCAGTGGCATTTATCCCATTACCAAAGAAGCTGGGTGAAAGATTGAGGTGTCTGATGACTTAAGGATGTAAAATAAAAAAATGCAAGGGCCTCCATTGCATGGTACATGAGTGGCTGCTGGCATTTGAGGTGGTTATAAAGGAGTTGAGAGAAGCTGTAGCTTGCCCTGACTGCTTTTGGAAGATTTTGGAGACCATCATTTTAAGCCCAAACAGTGATAGAAATGTCTTTCTAAGCTCCATTCGGAAAGATGAAAGATACATCCTTAGAAGGTCAAGAAGATTCCACTTGTGGCAAAGCTTGGGCTGCAGGGAGGATGTGGCGCTTGGCATCCAGATGGAGACCTCTTCTTACTCCACTTCTCCAGGGGAGAGCCAAGCAAGCCTGTCCCCATTGCAGCCAAAATTTTCTTCACTTCCCTCCCGGAAAAGAACACTGCCTTTGCAAAGTCAGTGTATCAGTTATGAGCACTCAAAGTTCATTGTAGATATTCTCTGCCTTCCCATCGGTAAGGGGTTATATTCTCACAGTGGCTGGAGTTAGCACTGGAAGGTGCTGTTAATGAAATGGCAGTGCTTTCACCAGAGTACCGTCCCGCAGAAGAGAATGGGAAGGAGACACATATGACCGGCTTGTGCAGACATGGGTGCTGGGAGCACAGAGCCTTCTGAGTTTCTCCAGACAAGGGCACCAGGAAGGCTGCAGGACTCAGCTGACTTCTGTTTAGACATCACCACCTCCCTCCCTCCCTGAGGAAAAGGAAAAGGAAGTGAGTTAAATGTATCTCAGGGAGCCTTAGAGACAAATTTTCATCTTCAGCACCTTGGTCACCTGCTCTGAAGAGCCTTTGGTGCCGCTTATAGAAATTTTCTGCTTATAGAAATTTAGCAACTGGCAACTAGAAATTTAGAAATTGGCAACTGCAAGATCCTGCTTAGCAACTGCAGATAGACTCAAAGCAGTGTACCATATCATCTTAAGAATAGCAGGGAGACCATAACTCAAGCAGTGTACCATATCTTCTGAAGAACAGCAGGTAGATCATAATTCAAGGCAGTGTACCGTATAGCCCATGACATGTTTCAAGGCACAGGCCAAGAAGATTTTGTACTTTTCCACCACCTGGCCCCTCTTACCCCCTCCCCTTGTAAAACATGCTATAAAAAAGCATTTCATGTTCAAAAAAAAAGAAATTAAAATAAATTATTTAAATAAAAAAAAAAGAAAGAAATTTAGCAAGTACTTCTCACTGGACTCTGGAGGAGGAAGTAGGCTCAGATAAGAGTATTCACATTTGGGCTAATGCAAGGATCAAGGTAACCACAGCCAAGGAATGTGTGACTTCCCTTTTGTCTTGGTAATCCTGATAAGCCCCCAGATCTAGTGACTCAGGGACTTTGTTTATTGGTTTGTTTGATTACTACCTGGTGTGATCTCTTTGTTCTTTGCCTTATTTAATTACCTTGTCTTTGATCTGAGAACTGACCCTATTCTCTGCAAGTACCTAGAATGGTATCAAAGCTGGCTGGGAAAAGTTAAAGCCGCTTCAGCCTCAGCACTGACTGGAGTCATGTTATAATGTTTGTCTAATTGTCCTTGTCTTTTCAATCCTCACTCCTGCACTTGACACCCTGTCGACTGACTGAACTGGCTTGATCAGTCTGCCAGAATGGGCTTCAAAGTGTTGATTCTCTCAGCTCCCAAAGACCTTGAGGAGTTCAGTATTTTAGTTCAGTAACTCAGTTTAACCTGAAGGTCAAGGAATCCTCCATTTCTCCCTTCCTCTATTCTTGTTCACTCTCCTCTAAGACATGTATCTCTATGCAAATCCAATGATCTCTTTGATAGAGTAAGCCTGCTCGTGTGCGCTCAAGAACTTCATCCCTTCCATTCATCTCTCTGGCTCTTTAGAGTGTACAGGTGTTAGATGTCCTGCTAAGCCATGTTAGCTAGCTAACTCTCCAACTAGAACTCACAGCCAGGGTGAAGTCCTGCTCTGAATGACCAATGCCTGGGTGTTATTGAATGCTAAATACGTAAAGACACATCTTGACAAGTGTGTTTACATTTTATAAACTTACTAGAGGAGCAGTGAAGAGGCCAGTGTCTATGGAGGGAAAAGAGATGTTTGCTTCGCTTCCTTTGCTCCAAGGTGCCTCCACATCTTCTTTTTGGAATGAGGTCAAATGGCCATGTGTGGATTAAATAAACTTGTGCCTTTCAGTTCTCCAGGAAGCATGATACAGAATCCATCAAGAACTCATGACATGCTGTGTTACAAGAGTTCCTTTATGTTAAGGGAATGATTTCTGTCTCATCCTTCCTTCTGCCTCTGAGCTCATACATGGGAATAAACTGCATTGGAAAAGTCTGAGGAAGTGGAGAAGGGGGGTTCTCTAGCATTGTTCCATATATATTTATATACTTGGATGTGCAAAACTTTAAGATGATTAATTTAGTGATTTTTAACATGTTTTATGAAATCTAAGTCTTAGAATCAGCCTATGTGTCTAACAGCAGAGAAATTAGTAAACAAAAAGTTACATATATATATACACACACACACACACACACACATACACAATGGAATTTTATTCTTCAGTAAAGAACATTATGTTATTCACAGGGAAGCAGGCATAAGTGGAGATTATCATATGAAGGAAATTTCATCAGGTCCAAAAAGAAAATTATTACCTTTTTCTCTTACCTGTAGATCATAGAATTTATAAACATACATAAAATTGTATACATATGTATATACGTCAGAAAAATAGAAGTGAACTCTCTAGGGAAACAAAAGGGAGTCACAGGAGAGGGCATGACATGCCAAGTGCCTTACACACTTGCATGAAAATGTCCATATGAAATGCATGCAAACAATAGAAGGCTAAAATAAAGCAATCATCTTGCAGTCCTTAAATTACTTATTGAATAAATCTTGAAAAACTGTTGGAACAGTGATAAAATGTTAAAAATAAAGGTTTCTGCCTGCAGCACATAGTCATATATGTTGGAAAACAACTGCCCTCCCATCTCACAGGCAGCATAGGTTTTGTCTGTGCCTCCTAGGCCTGGGAATACATAATTTTTCTCGTGTGCACTCATTATGATGAGGTAATGATCAGCATCGTATTTAACCCCAGTTGAAGTTATTCTCTGCTGCCCATCACTCACAATGCTTGGGACCAAACGAACCAATTAGAAATGTTGTGTGTCCTTTGGGCTTGACTAATGTAAGGTTTTTTTCTCACTCTAAATGTGGAAATAATCAACACAAATTTTGAAACGCACAACTGGAGTTTTGAGACTGCTTCACAAATCACCACAAAACACTGTTTACTGAAGCATAAAACTTGGTAAGTTATA